TTTCAGCTTTAAAACCATTTTGAATCAATAGAAGCAGCATTTAAAAAGACAAGTTCACACTTTGTACACCCACAAAGCCCTGGAAATCTGATAATAATTCATGTCAGTTAAGTATTTTCAGCCTGAAAATCCAGGTTCAGAGTACTTGCACGTCAAGGAAATGCTTCTTATTTCTGTCACGTGTGGATGTGTGGATAACATCTGAAAAATTGTGGTTCTCCAGCAGAAGTGCAAATGGAACAAAATATTTGACATTAGCTGAGCTCATATCAAGCTTTTGTTTGTTTCTTAGGATTTAGCTAGAAGTTTAAAAAAAGCCTTTTTGATTTCTTCACACTTCCCCCCCCCGGATAAAATCCCAGCCTTCTGTAGCAGACTACATCTCGCAGGAATCACACTCTGCATGTTCAGGGGCTGGCATCGCCTTTTGTCCTGTAATTGAATTGAATCAGCTCTTAGACCCTTCTTCCCAGACAGCCCTATCATTTGAGCGCGCCAAAGATGTATTACACTAATACATCGTCAGAACGACAGAGCTATGATGATACATTAATGCAATACATCTTCGCAGCTTTAGGGCTGTCCAGAAACAATAGGACCGCTGTTAGGCTCAGCTCACTCATATCGCGCTCATGCACACACCCCACAACGGCAACTGAAATGTGAGTGTGGAGCAGAGGGAGCACGATGCGAGTACGTTCAAACCTGAAGTCAGGGCAATTTCTGGAAAATCGTAGCTCTCCTCAGTGTTTGTGAAAAATCTGTTATTTTGCATGAGCAAAACAAGAGTGCCCTGGTGGTAGGGAGTGGCCTTTCACTCAGCATGGGAAAAACTGTCTGCATTTGGCTAAACTAATAATTTCTGAAAAACTGCACTCCCAAATGCATGTGTATGTGTATGTGCTGCTCATCCTCGTGTTTTAGGAAAATAACAGGACACTAGACTGAAGACAATGGTGATAAAGCTGTGAGAAAAGGGCAAAAGGATAGGGAAGTGCTGGAAAAGATGAAACTTGGAGTCACCAGGGACCATGCTGAGGATCCAGAGCAGGGAGTCGTGGAAGGCAGAGGGGACACGGGTTCCTTCGGTATGAACAAGCCACGACAGTGGGGTCAGTAAACACCACAGCACGGTTGCAGAAAAAAGGACATTCTCATATCTCAGTCACTTTTTCTGCCTGCAGCTGTGAGTCCCGCTAGCAAAGCGCACACCACCACACCTGCCTGTTGCTGAGAGGCTGCTGCTCAGTCTGTGCGAGCAGGTGGTGCACACGATGGGGGAGATGTGGAGGTTAGCACTGCACTGAGGACCCACAGCCTCAGGGTGGGTATTTGGGGGCTCTGCTTCAGGCAGGTCCAGCCCCGTTAACCTGCCAGGGACTGCAACAAGAGTGTCACATCCTAACCTTGCTCGTGAGCGCTCTGGGAACGACGCAGCTCCAGCATGAACAAGCTGGGGTTAAAATGCTTGTTGGAAATGTCTGAAATGTGTGAAGCTTCACCTGAAAACACTCATGGTAAATACGACGGTGGAGTCAAGCACCTTAAACACAAAGGTGGGGCTGCTCTTGCAATTATTTATGCTCCTCTCTCCATATGCATTTGATCGAGACCTGCCCTGGTCACTACTGCCTACCCGCAGGTGCCCATCAGTCACACCAGGAGCACGGACCCAGGGGCTCGGCTGGTGTGGCAGGACGCAGCCGCGCGTGTGGGGCCTTGCCAGCTCTGTGCCCTTCCCAGGGGAGCAGCAGGGCCACGGCAGACACCCTGCTGGGTGGTGGAAGCAGCTCGGTGCCTCTCGGGGAGCTGGCTTCAAACAGAAAGGCACCAAGGGCCCGCTGCGTCCTGCATCAGAGCGTGGCTGCCCGGCCCCAGCAGAGAGCTTCCTCTGGAAAGCGTGGGCAAAACCCAAGCGGGAAGGGGCTTCAACGTGCAAGGCACCCGCATTTTGCCAAGCAGTAACATTGATCCGAAGTCTTTTGGGCAGCTCTTGGTTTTGCTGTTCGTGGCAGCGTTTGCAGAGGTTGCTTCTCAAAAAGGAAAATGTAACACCGTGCCTACAAGTGCTATGAGCTGGAGTTACGGCTCAGGCAGACCTTAATTCTTTAAAATTCTGGTTTCATTCTTAAACTATTGATGCTGCACTTTGCTCCTAAATGTCAGAACAAAATAAGTAATACCTGCAATTTATTCCGATGACATTTCAACAATAGAAGATTTTCAGATTACAAGCTACAGCTCCGTGTTCCTTACGGTGTTATGCTGAATGTGTAGATTTTGTGGATTTACATAATGGCTTTCTATAATGAATATTTATATAATGAATGTATTTACATAATGACTGCAAGTTAAACATGCACCATAAAGATTACAGGCCAATAATTTATGTACTAAGTTAAAAATCACCTCTAAATACGTTTTATTTTTATTCCTCTGAAAGGTTCATTTTATCTCTTGTTCAAAAAAAATTGAATCCGACCTTATCCAAGTAAAGGCTGCATCGATGCAAATCACGATAATATTTTGGCATTAGTCTACATTGAATCATTTGTATTCAGAGTTTTCAGTTTCTTATCTTCCAGTAGCAGCTTTGACAAACAATTCCAGAATATTATAAATATAATTCTTTAATATAATTTAGTGTTGTATTCTAGATGTGATGCTTGTACGTAATCCTCATTAGTGCCACTGGGAATTACGGGAGAAAACTGATAGAAATTATAAAGTGCAGATGAAACTTATGTGTAGATAAAGGTAATTTGCTGCAGACCAAACATAAACCCTTACAGAAATCTGAGCTTTTCAACTCTCCTGCCTTTAACTGGAGTTTAGTGCCATTTATAACTGTCCCTACACCAGACCCAGACCCAGAACCAGAGCTGGCCCGGTGTTACTGAGATGGGCAAAACATTCTCTGTTTGGTTAGACACGGAGGCAGGACGCGTCCTGCTCACCCTCTGCTTGCTCCCCTGCGTGCTGCAGGGGCTCTGGGCACAAAGCACCCGAGACCCCACGGCCGTGAGCAGCGCGCCCTGGGTGGGTAACGAGGTGGGGATCGGGGCTGGAGAGGGAGGGCACGGGGTAAGGGGGAGCTCAAGGAACAGCATCGGGTGCGTGCCGAGGCACGGCGTGCAGGAAGCCAGGGGCACCACAGAGCTGCAGAGCAATGAGGGGGGAGGTGTACGGGCATCAGGCATGGAGATAAACCCTGATGGCATCCGAGCGGGGGGAAGGAGAAACCTCAAACACGAGCATCATATTGCTGGTAAGGGACCCTGGATGCCAACAAGTCGCCGTGACACCCCCAGGATGAAACCACCCGTGTCCAATCTGCGGAGGAGAGGGCTCCGGGGTCTTGTACCTGATGGGGGCAGAAGGCGATGGACCCGAACTTCTCAGGGGTGGCAGTGACAGGACATGAAGCAAAGGGCTCACGTTGAAACACGGGAGTTGCCATTTAAACAGATATATATATATATATATATATATATATATATATACACGTATATATATATATTTTTTTTCAAAGTGAGGGACCAAGCACCAGCAGAGGTTGTGCACAGCCTTGGGGACCCCCGGAGCAGACCCAGCCTGCCCCAGGGGAGGTGTGGGTGCCTTTTCCTCACATTTCATTTCCACTGTCACCGTGGTACGTGTCCCTTGAACGTCCCCCCAACGAGTCCCTTGCCACACGGATCGCATTTTTACTCTTGCCATTCTCAGTCCTTTGGTCAAGACACAAAATCAGCGGTTCACTGAAAGCCCTTGTGATGATGTGCACCAATTTTGTCTGGACTCGAGATGAGGAGGATCTAGCTCTTTCTCAGGCCCCTTCTCCAGTCTGAGTGGACTAATTCCCCTCTTCTGTTTTTTTCCTCTCAAAAAAAAAATGGTAATGGCTGCTTTCTGTAGGAAACCTAATGCTTTAAGCTATTACTCTGAAGTATCACCACAATTTCCAATAAAATTTTATTTGACATTTAGTTAAAATCCATTTTTTGCTGCAACTGATTTTTTCCCTACTCCCTCGATGGACACTTCCAGCAGAATTCATTGTCATTGTCTTAAAGGTCAAAAGTTGTTTTTTTTTTTCCAACTCTCGCTTCGTAGGGGAAACTGTTACCGGGCTTATGACACCCTGCGGAAAGCTGCAATAGCCCATGAAACCGCTCTTCCCTGCAATTACACGGGCTTCAGAGAAGTTGTGTGAGCAAACAGAAAGCCTTCGCTTCGGAAGGAATGAGAATTGCAGGGCCCTGTAAAAGAGCCCTCGCACCCGGCAGCACGGGAGGGGGCTGCGGGCAGAGGGGAGCTGCCGGGGCTGCCCCCATCACTGCGGGGTGCTGTCCTGTGGGGCTGAATGTTTTGTTCAAATGTGTGATGAGGGATTACGAGTACAAAAGGGAACATCAGATTAAATAGAAGCGGTAGGTTTAGATGGCATTTTGTTTGCAGTTTTTCTTACATACGTGTAAGTGTGTTTGATAAAAGCATCCTAGGAAGCGGCACCGTGACACGGAGTGACTGAAAGGTCGGACGGGAGTGAAATTCCTTCGAGTCTGGTGCAGGAGGTGTTGGTGCTTTCAGCCCTCACTCCTACTTGTAGAGAGTCCTTTGTGTTCTTCATTATTTCCTTGCCTGGGTTTATCTGATAAACGTCTGCAGCCTGTTAAAATGAGCTTCGGCTCAGAGGTCTGGGGCTGTTACTGACACTGCCTCTAACCCGTGTCCTCAGGGAGCCACCCAGGCCCAAATTAAAAACATATTCTTGTTTAGGGTGCCTTGATTTCTACCTTCCCAGTTTACGGTAGCATTACAGTTTTCAGTGATCTCAGCTTAAACCTGCTCTGAAGCCTTCCTTTTCTACAAGTCTAGTTAGGCACACGTTCCTTAAGGCATGCAAAAGCAATGCTGTCCCACTTCCGAAACTGAAAATGCAAAAGCTGTGAGTGGTGAGACTTCGCAGAAAGCTCGAAGTGACAGCTACGTGCGCTTACCAGATGGTGAGATGTGTCTCCACGAAATGGAAGGCTCTGGTTTCCCTGTGGCCAGGCACACGAGGGTAACGTTGCTGCCTTCGTTCACGATGATGTCACTTGAAATACGAAATATCTTCGGAGAAACTGAAAGGAAACCAAGAGGCAGTTGTGAAGGAAAGCAGCCGAACCAGAGCAACCCCCCAGGGCCCAGGTAGCGGAGCAGAGCCGTGATACGCACATCGCCGTTACCTCCAGGAATACACAAAGCATGCACCTATGCAAAACAAAGCTGTGTAAATCGTGTTTCAGTGTGACCACAGCTATTTCCATCATGCCTGCAGATGCACAGCCCGTGGATTCGAAATGCTGCAAATAAGAAAGCAGCGATTTCCTCTGGTTTGTGCAGGGCAGGCATTGCTATTGGGTTCCCAGTGAATGGCTACTGAAGGATGCTCTTTTTGTGGGAGAAGGCTGAGCTGGCCTGTGACAGCTTGAAAATAAAACAAAATGAATTTTTTCTTCTACTTTTGAAAACAATGATGCTTATTGCCTCTACTCTGTATGTACTTTGAGTGTCATATCTGTTCATGGAGAAGACCAAAATACATTTGTTTCTGTTGCTTTGTACTTCTTTTTGGCCTGTGATATCGACACAGCTAAGGAAGAAAATCATCAGCAGAATAATTTTCTAAACTCCACTTTCTGTACTATCCACACACCTGGTCATACGCCAGCAGAGCTCCACGTGGATGGAAAACAACGGGAAGCTGTAAGTGGCCTGCCCTTACAGGAGTGCACCAGGACTTGTAACCTTAAACAGGGAAGAAGGGATTTCAGGACTCCAGCAATAAAGGCAGGGATTTGGGATTTCAAAATTAATATTCATTTTGGATTATTATTCCTTTATATATTTCATTGTATGCTTGCTATAGAAACCAAATCGATACAGGAACAAGTCATGCCCTATTGATGTTTCGGAAAGGCACCGTTCTGTAAGCAATAAATAACTAAGGTGTGGAAGTCGCAGCTCTGACATGTGGGTGTTTCCGAACCTTCCGTAAGGACTGAGCTAAAATCAAAGCATTCTGCAAGATAAATGAGCACCAGTGAAATGAGAAAAGAAATATATGTTGATCTTCCTGTTTCCTAAATGGACACTCCAAGCTGGAGCTTTACTTTCCCTAATGCCCCAGTCGTGTCTCACTGGGTTGCTCCCGTTTGTCAGAGCCCAAATCCCACCAACACACACCTGTGTGACCATTGCAGCAAGCGGCCCATCCCCTGGGATGTGCTGTCAGCATCCCCTCCATGCGCTCTGGGAAGCACAGAGCCTTTTCAGAAATAACAACCTGCGGTGTCGAGGAAAGCAAGTTGCCTTTCAGTGATCCAACCCCGCATTTCATGGCGTGCAAAGGGCCCCAGCTGGGGTGGAATTGGGCAGCTGTAGGGTTAGCACTGGGGCGGCACACCAGCACCTGCAGCAGCTGAGCCAAGGCCGTGGCTGCGCTGCACAATCAGGCACTGTTCACGTCCCTCCCTCAGACACTTGCAGGCTGCCCGAATGACTCAGAGCTGCTGGTTACAGTGAGCCGCTTGTTGTGGTGGTGGGTTCTTTGGATGCTGAGCGCAGCCCCTGGCAGGCACTGGCAGGAAGTTTTCCCCACGGCCGTGCCCACGCGCAGCCGCGCCGTGCACGGGTGCAAATCTCTGTGCCCAGCCTGGGGACCACGGGCTGCCTCTGTGGGGCCAGGCACCTCGTCTCTTCTGGCACAAACAAGGCTCCTGCCCCGAGTGGCTCTGCGTGCTCTGGGACCTTCCACCTGCAGACGTTCCCCAGCCCTGCCACCGGTCATTGACTGCAAGTTGTTTCATCAAAACGAGCCGGGGTCAGGAGGCTTCAAACAAGCCGCAAATCCTCAGCGCTTGCTCGTGGCTATGCATTTGTGAGCAAAGAAAATTAAAAGTCTGCGTGGTGTATTGTTAATTAGCAGAGAAACACGTCTGCAGGGAAATCAGAGGGCTGGGGCAGGCTCAGCCCTCCCCGTCTCCTACGAGAGGGAAGTTCACTGTTGCCATCCTTTGAAGTTCAAACAGGTTTACACACAGCCACTGAAACAGGAGAGCTGTGAGTTTGCCAGCCCAGCTCAGAGGCAGTAATCCTGGGCTCGGATGCTCAGGCTCCAGACGTGTCCCAAGGTTTGGCTAAGGGCTGTGTTGCAGGGAGCTGCCTCAGCCTGTCCCACAGCTCCAGGTGATGCTCACGCTGCCGCGCCGTAAGCACTGCCAGCGATTAAATACCCCCTTCGCTGCTGGGAAATAGCATCTTACTTCAAAATTGCATTTCGCTAAATTCAGCTTTCAGAAATCAGATCTTATTATGTTTTTGTCTGCAAGACTGAACATCCCCCTTACTATCAAGTATCTTTTCTATGAGTAAGGACCCATAAAACATGATAAATCACCTCCCTTTTCATCTTTCTCCGCAGATGATTTAAGCACCACAAGCTTAATTTTTGTACGGCTTCCTCGATAATATTTGTTTCTCTCTTCCGAGGACCATCTGAATCATCCTGACATGTGAACAGTGGAACGAGGCAGAATGGCCCAGCGAGCCGCTCTGCACAACGCTGCGCACAGCAGTCAGCCCGCTGTGTTATCTCAGCTGTGTTCCCTCTGTCCTGGTGCCACTGCTCTCCTCCGGGCCCTTGTCCCCTTCCCCTGCCCGCTGCAGCCCGCCCAGCAGCAGCAGGGGCCGGGGGGCCGGGGGGCTGCGAGTGGCAGTGCTGGAGGTGGGCAGCTTGCCGCACGTGTCCCCTGCATGGCCAAAAACATCCCTTACGTGTGAGGAGGAGTGACCCAAATTTTCAATTATTATTGCTAAATTATTTAGGAATTTCTAAATGAGTTAGGAATGACCTAAATGCTAAATTATTATTCCTGAATTATTTAGGAATTGCTAAATGATTTAGGAATGACCTGACTACCCAGAGGCTCCTGCTGGCCCGACTGCACGTCCACCTGCGGCTCCCTCCTGAGCACTCCCCTGGGAACCTCTTTGCCTACGAGAAACATTGGGAACTTTCCTCCTGGGAACCGCGCAGACCCAAGCTGGTGCCTCCAGGCAGAAGGAGGCAGACGGGAGCCTCGCAGGTGCCTCTCGGCCGCGGAAGGGACCTGATGGAGGTGACAGCACGTCTGAGCCCATAGCTCTGCCTGGGGACCAGAATTATGGGACCATTACTTTGCGTGGGACTGATGGCGAGCCTGTACTTCACCGAGCCTCGTTTCTCATTTCCAAGGGCTGGAATTATATTCTCAGTTACATTCAAGTGCACATAAATGATGCAGCGTAATAAAGATTACTGCTGGGGTGGGAATTACGGCAGGGCCAAGCTGCTCCTGTGGCTGCTGTTGCTTTTTTAAGATGGGATAGGATGCCCGATTTTCATCACAGCTTAGAATCACCAAGGAAATAACCCGGGGCCTCAGCACACACGGACTCATCCTGATCCTTAAGATATGTGCTGAGCTCTTCCCCGCTATCAGCCCCTCGCTGCCAGCAGCTCCGCACGGCCCCAGCCCACAGCCTGTGTGGCCACACGAGCAGCTCGGTTTCTTCGGGAAGTGTCCCCGGTAAAGGTGGTTAGTTATGAACCATGATTTCATAGTAACGTTTATTAAGACATATGGCAGCCAACCCCTTCTCAGATCATAATGCAACAATTCCCTTCATGTACCGAATGTAGGCAAACCCGATAGAACATACAAAAGCTGCGAGAATTGGATTGTAAGGATAGAAGAGCTACATCTGGGACTTTGGAAAGAGAGATTTTGCCACCAGAATTACCTGCTTCATCCCTCCCAGGTGCTGCAAGTACAGCTTCTGTGCTGCTATCAGCTTAGCTGAATGTCCGTGTGCTTTCTTTCCAATGAGGAGTGACTTTTTTTTGGTGAAAGGGAAGCACTGCAGAGCCTCTTCTCCAAAATCCCCAATACCCTGAAGTTCTTCAACCAAACGCTGGGCTGCACACCCCACCTCTCTGTCTGCAATGGCAATTTGATTTTTTGCTGATTATAATTTCATAATTAAGCCATAAACATGGAGTGGGGAGGGAAGATGCTGGTTTCAGCAGCTTAACTGGCCGTTTCTCCTGGACTGGAATTAATTCGCTGACTGATCCATCTGTGCACATGCCCGTGTGCTCCTCGCTGCTGAGCAGGCAGCAGGAACGACACAGGAGGGTGCGAAACGTCCACTCCCCACGTACCAGGGCTCCCCTGCACTACGCCCTGCCGCGCTCCTTACGGGCTGTGTTGGGGCACCAGGGATGCAGTTTGCGAGGGCTCAGCCCCGGCAGCAGAGCAGCTCGGCACAGCACTGCCTGGCCCGGCCCCTGATCCAGCTGCAGAGGCAGCAGGCGTAGGGCAGGCAGAGCTGCTGCTGCTGGAGGCCACAGGGACTTGGGATGAGCAGAGCCCTGCCCTGCAGCAGGAGCTCAGCAGTGAGCCCCGGGAGCTTCTTGGCCGCTCCACGCGCGCTGTGGCTGTGCTGGCTGGGGCATGGGCACGGGCACCGTGCGGTAACTCGCACTCCCCACGCACAGCAGGAATTTGCTCCTTCGTGTGGCATTTCCTGCACCTTGCCGTGCCTCCCGGAGGCAGGACACCCCAAGGGCAGACACCCCAAGGGCAGACACCCCAAGGGACAACTCAACGGCCCCGATTCTCCTCCCATGGCCCTTGGGAGCCCGCAGGATGTGCGTGTGCCGCCCTGCTCGCGGCACTTGGTGCCCCATCCAGCACCTCCAACATGAACAATGCACACACACGGCTTTGAAACGCGTGGCATTTTATAATAGCATTTATGCCATGCCTAGGAGAACGGCTATAACCATGCAAAGTCTCCTCTTTTCACAAGGGAGGCTGCAGTGACAGGGTGCCCACCACTGTCCTGGGTGCCCACCACTGTCCTGGGTGCCCACCACTGTCCTTCCCCACCGCTGTCCGCTCCGCAGGGCGCTCCTTTCCCCACAGCCTGCCCCACGTCTGCTGCAGGCCCACAGCCGAGGAGGGTCTCATCTCCAAGTGCACACGCTGTGCTTCTTTCCAAGGATTATCACCAGGAACTCTGCGATATTTTGAAG